AAAAAATATATTTTTTTTTTGTTGTGTTTGTTTATTTTGTTTAGAGGGGGGGGGGGGGGGTAAGCTTTCACTGCTTATAAGTGATGCTATTGCCATTTAGGGGAGGGAAATTAGAGTGTCCTTTGCTCCCAACTTATAACAGGATCGTGCAGCTGAAGCCACTCTATTCCCAAGATTATTGGCACTTGCAAGGAGGTAGTTACATAGAGTGTTATGAACTCTTGTGTGATTTTTGATTGTCAATTCAAAGGAACTGTGCACTGCAGAATCTGTCCTGCTCTTAGCAGCTGACTGCCAATAGTCTCAACTATCATTGGACATTCTAGAGCTTGAGTAGGTAACTTTAGTTTCTGAACTGTCCATATATCTATGAAATTAGCAGTTGCCCCAGAATCTACGTCAGCAGAAAATTCCACCTTCTGCCCGGAATCTAAAGAAACGATAACAGGAGTAATTAAATATGCTTGCCTTTTGTCGACTGTCTGAACTCTCCTCAAATGGTGGATGGCACCCTTTCAGAGTACCTGGGAGGGAGGCCTGCAAAGTTTCCCTGGGGTGCTGCTTGGGAGCAAGTTGGGCATTTACTGGCTTTGTGCTTTGCTGATTTACAAGTTCTGCATCTTATTGCTATGACAGCCAGTTTTTTTCAGACACAGTCCAGCTATGTGCTGTGGGGCCCCACAATAAAAGCACAGCCCCTTACCCCTTTTTCTTTGCTTCTCTTCTGATGATAGGGATCTCTTGGCTGCACAGTTTTGCATGGATTCTCCCATGCTGGGTTCCGAGGAGGCCATTGGGAGGGGTGGTATGTGGGAAGACAGAACATAGGATCTCTTCTCCTTCCTGTTTCTTCCCTGCCTCAATTCTTCCAGTCAGATGTCTATAATTACACAATGTTGATATAGCTCCTCCAAGGTATCTGGGGTGCCTTGTCTCACCAGCTCATCTCTTAGGTCATCAGTCAGCTAGTCAATCAGGGCTAAGTCATTCCACCCTACATCATCAGCAAGTAATTTAAAGTCCAAAATATATACTCCTACCTTCTTCTGTCCCTGCTTGAGCTTCCGGATTTCTCAACTAGCTGTGATTCAATGTATGGGATACCCAAAGTGTCCTCTGAGTTTACACATGAAGTCTTGACAGTTGTCCAGGACCAGATCGTTCCCCTCAATGAATGGTATTGCCCACTTAGCTGCTGCTTCCTTCAGCAAGCTAAGTACAAAAGTCACTTTAGTGCAATCAGTGGGAAACTCTACTGGCTGGCCTCCCATCAACATTTCACACTAAACAATGAATGTCCAGAATTGATTCTGGTCTCCAAACTTCTTTGGAAAGCTCCCATGGAAACGCGGAAATACTGGTTGTGCTATCTGTTGTGCTGCTGTAGGTTGAGGCAAATTCTGCCCCAGTTGCTGTGTCAGTTGTATCATGGTATTCTGTAAATTGGTCATCTGTGGATCTACTCTGGTACTGCAACAACACAACTGCCAAGTGCTCAGTGGATAGCAGGGTTCCTTGAGGATTGGAGGCCATTCCAAGAAATTCTTCTCTTTGGAAGAGTAGGGGACTTGCAGTATTGCTATCAGCCCTCACAGGTAAAGCAGACAGGAAACACAACCAGATGAGCTAATTCTACTTTATTGTTAGGCTATATTAACAGAATCTTGCAAGTCTGAAAGTGCATATCTCCCGCCGTCCATATTTACCACCTGATCAGTTAGGATGGGTCTTTTCTAAGTTTCTTTCTTTGCCTGTTACCAGTTGCAGGCTTCTCCCCCTTTTATCTGATTGTTCCCTAGACAGCATCTCTTCCCCCCATCTTCCAAGGTCATTCTCACATTCCATTACAGTCCTCAACCCAGCAAAGACTGCACTGGGCTTGCCACACGCACAGCTGGGTTTTTAGAAAGAAACACTCCATCCCAGGTTGGTTGCCAAGTTCTTGGTGGAACACAATGGAATAACAATGATTTTAAGATTCAAGTTACATAGAAGGCTACCTCCTGTCACACTTGTATTCCTCAGTTTTAAGATATTCAAAAATTCTTCATAGAGTGCTCTTACCAAATGAGAGATGGGTGAGCACAAAAGGAAAAAAACCTCTGGGCAGTGGCATCCCGGTTATGGTATAGCCTTCCTAGATCAGCCATTTTCATGGCATCTTTGTTGGATTCACATATCATGCTAAGCCAAAATGTGGTTGGTTTTTGGCTCAGCATATTATGCAAACCTAGCTAACTATGAACAAACCCTGGCTTAGTAAATTGTGCAAATACAATATTTATCCTTTTGCAGAGCCAGAGGAGGACCGTTTAATTCATCTTTACTTATTAAATAATTAATATATTTTAACTTGGGCTTCTCAGTTTCAGATTTCATTTTTAAAAAATTTAAATAGTTTTTAAAATAGTCTATACTGTTTTAAATTGCATTTTGAATACTGTACTGCACTTGCTTGCAAGCTGCCTGGAGAACAGACTGATCAGTTATATAAAATTAATAATAAATAATATAAGCTTTTGACGGCTATAGAATGAAGGAATCTGAAAAAGACCTGCTATCATCATCAGTGTCCTTCAAAGGTTCGTGTAGATTTTGCTTTCTTCCCATATCCATAGCAAAAATTAAATTTGCTTTGTGCATGAGAGCAGACAAGTCTGCACCTTTTGATGAATTAAAAAACAAAAACAACGACAACTGTCCTCTGGTGTCCTGTTAATACCCTATTCAATTGTACAACCAAACCACAGTCAGCAATTTGCCAGCTGATTGAACACAAAAATACAGAAATTGATATATTCCTCTCCTCCCAACCAAACAAGAATAGGATCTGGCAAAAGGCAAATGCATTATCTCTGAAGGCAGGCTGTAGGACCTATCAAATGCTACTGAGAGAACAGACTGGGGGAACGATGAGAACATTCAGACTAGCCATATGAAACTGCCTTATATCTAGTCATAGTCTGTCACTCATTTTCATTGTCTATTACTAACTTCGGTATTCATGAATAATGGACAATTTTGGGAACTGTAGACTCAACATACAGGGAAGGTATCAGGGCTGAGGAAGTTGTCCCAAAAGATGGGGAGTACACAGTAGACTATTTTCAAAAGGCAACTACTGAACAAAACTCATCATTGGCCTTTAGATTAAGAGGCTAAATTAAGAACAGAAGGTGGCAGTCTGATAGGAAATCTCAAGGTGCACAGGAAAGAGAAATACCACCTGTATAGTTTAACTTAAAAATCAATATGGCTTTTAAAGATTTTTTTAAAGGTATTTTATAGGTATTACAGGTATATAAAATACCTTTCATAGTATTGCTTAGATAATCATCATCCAGTTAAATAAGGGAAACACCACCGACAGATTTATAAATGACCGCTTATGGAATACTATTATTCAAAGCCTTCCATATATAAAGCATTAGTAATCCCTATTTCGTCATTCTTACTGTGACCTTGTATATTTAATATAGGTTACTTTTCTCCCCTTGCTCAAAAAGTCGATACTGATTGAGGCTAAGAGACAATAATTTGCCTAATGTTAATGAGTTATTACATGAAATGGGTAAAACCTTCACTGGGGTTTTATCAGCTTATACTTAGGCTATTACAGTATGTGCTTTTACAGGGGCATACTGTAGTCAACAGAATTTAATTCAGAGTAAATATATATAGAACTGTGTTCCTAGTTATAAAAGCATTTAATCTATGTAGGGATGTCATAAACTGTTATCTTTTAAAAGATGTGTACTATAGTTCATGTAGTTAGCCTTGACTCATATAAATGTAGCTCTACATCATGGCTGAGCTCAATTTGCACATTTTATGATTAACAACTCTGACAAAACTAAAAGCACGCTAAGAGAATTTTAAGACTATATGGAAGGGACAACCTGGATTTAAAATTTTGTCCAAAAAGAGCATATATTAATTAATTAAATAATGAGGACCTACTAGTTTAAGTGAATAGTCCATATTTTAAAAGAATATTGCAGTAGAATCAAGATACCAAATATCATCATTCCCTTTAAGATCATCTATATCCTAGAAGTTACTTGCTACAGAATTTGACCAAAAAAACCCACCACCCTATCGCTTAGAAAAAAAAAAAACTGGCTTCAAAATTTCACTTCTTTCTTGCCCTGGATACTGTATTCACTTATTGTTTTCTTAAAACAATACCCATCAGCTATGATATCTAACTCAGGACGAGACAAGAGCTACTTTAAGATGGCTTGGATAGATCAGAAAGTTAAAAAGACAACATTTTGCTTGATTTTGGACAATACTATAAAACAAAATGAATATTTAATTTGAGATTTATTCATCTGACTGGACCTGGATTTTATATTCTCAGCTTGATATCAGAGGCAGAATTAAGAAACTAGATTCAAAGGAGCAAACTTTTTCTTGAATATCCCTAGCTATGTTGTAAAATAAAAACTACAGATTTACTTAGATTAACAAGCAATATAGTTGAGGTCATTGTTACATTTATTTCTCAAACAGATGTCAAGTACACTTTGAATTAACTTACTGTAATTGTGCATTTACTTTGACATAAACCACATTAAAGTTTTGGCAAAGCCCAGGGACTATGGAAGCACCTACTTTTCTAGGTTCCACAAGAACCGTCTCCCAATAAATTGTGCCGAATGCTTACACAATATGTTCTTCAGATGTAATCTCCAAATCAGACAAATTTATCTGTTCAAAAGACTGTGACAATAAAATGAAAGTTCTGGGGCACTACATTTGGAAGACAAATTTAATCCCTTTAAACATTTCCTACAACTTTTCTGAAGCAAGAGATTGAGAACAGGTTCCTTTCTGGGTTAAAAGAGAATACCAAGAAAGAAAATGGCAACATAGACACACCACACTTCACTGTATGAAAGTTACAAAATTAATGCACTTGGCTCTTGACCCAGAAAGCACTTCAAAGCTTTGCCGAAGCCAACACAGATGCATTTGGGAATTACTGAGTAATACATACACACATGCAGAAAACATAAAACCTATCACCAGAGTGAGTGGGATGGAGTCACTGGATCTATTTACAGCAATGCTAGATGGAAACAATATTTTCTTGTGTGTATAGATAAAGCTGGAACACAGCCTGCTAAGCAATGTCTTTCAATATTAATATTGCACAATGAATTAGTGTACTTCAGAATCCCAATGTTACATTTTCACTCTCTTTACCCAAGCTTCCTGATGACAAACATCAAGTTTCATGTAATTTAACAGTAGCACCAAAAAGACAAAGCAGCAAATTTCACATACTCCCTTATTGATATCTGGCGCAGGACTGCAATTTGAAAATAACTTTTTCTTATCCTTCTGACATGCATGATTTAGCTGTATAAAATTTAGTGCTGAAGTGATATGAATTCTCACTTTCCTTTACAGTATTCGGTCTTCCTTTGGCTCTATTTAGGACTATTCACATGAATAAGTAATTTGAATATGACAATATTTCAGCAGACAAGAATATTTAATTGGTAAAAGAGATACTACTTCACCAGGAATATAAATTCATTATGCCATCTGCAAAGTTGCTAAAAGTGGGAGTCACATTAATTGGCAGCTCTGCTTGTGGTGAAGTGTAATATGATAATGAGTAATTTCATTGTAGGAACTGATCCTTAAGGCTAAGTTGTTTAAATGTTAGAAAAAGCTGAGTAGTAAAACCGTCTTAACAGCGCAATCCTGTACAGGTTTGTTCAGAAGTCATTCCAACTAAATTCAGTAAATCTTGAATCAGGTAAGCGGATATAACTTACAGCCTAAAGCAGATATTAGAAAAGCTAACCATGATCTAATGAGTTAAGTATTCACATTACAAATGCTGCTTAGCTAGGATAGGTGACATCTTCAGTAGACCTCCCTATACAATCAAGCTTTTAGCAAAAAAAATCAGTACTTAATGGTGGCAAATGTAGTGCAACATTATCACAAATTTATATAACATTACTGACCAGGGGAAATACTGTTCACGCATTCAGCAAAGTACTTTTCTTAGTTCCAGAGAAAACTTCTAATATACTACTTTGGTCAGAAATCACCCCAACACGCAGGTTTATAAGGATGATAGTTCTCATTGTCAGATGTATTATCTTTGTAGTTGTACTGAAATCTTACTACCAGATCCTCCTGACATTTGGAAGGTCTCTGAGTATGACATGAGAACCTCAATCACCATACATATGTGACATTTCTTGTAGTAGGGGCTCTGTAGCCCAGTCTTCAGTATCACAGAATTCTTCATAAAACACAACATATCAAGCTTAAATTTGTAAACAATACTAAATAAAAAGCTTCTAGATATGTCAATGTAAATAACCCATTCTACTCTAGAGTTTAAGGTCCTACTTAAGGATTTAAAACCCAGATGAAATAGTTTAGTGCATTTGTCAAATATTTAACTTAAAAAACAGATGATGCAAAATCAGCTGCTTAGAGATATTATGATAAATGAACCATCAGGTTTATAGATGTCATGATTAGAAACTCGGTAATAGAGTTCTTTAAGTTTCTGTGGTCTTGCTAAATGTTAGGAATGAAAGGTATTCCAACATCAGTTGGATTTAATATATAGGCTAACAATATGCCAAAAACCAAAGGTGACAAAGAGATAGAGCTTAAGCTATTTTCTCTAATGGTACTAAAGGAGGGAATCTGCACTCCAACTTAGGTCTTATTTAGGGAAAGGTATAAACCACCTTCTTATTGAGCTTGTATCCTGCAAAGACAAGAGCATGCCAAGCCTGCAAAGCTATCATCAGTTGGGTTGCCCCTTTTGATCTAAGGCCTGACCAGCACTGTCCCCTTTGTTTGACAGAAAAGATCTGGCCAGAAATATCTGACCCTTCTGTTATCAGGTTTGCTGAGATGAGCTGTTCTTACTCCTGAAAACCTTTCATTTTAAAAATGAAAAAGAATGGTAAAAACAAGATATTTTAGGGTCTCTTCTACAAAAATCTATGGTTTGCTTCTTTCTCCCAAATGAAATTAGTCAATGAGAAAAGTTGCTGGTGTGGACGCTCTACGAAAAAGTAGGCTGGAACCTCTGAAGAGTTGCCCCTGGAGAAAGAAGAGGAAAATGTTACGGGAAATTGTTTATTAAGATCTGTAGCAACCTTCTTGCTGCTCAACCAAGTGCTGCAATAATCATGGGTACAGAGACACCACAATACTTGGCAGTGAAACTTCAGACTCAGCAATCATGGAAATATAAATGTGTAAAAATATGCATGGAGGAGTGGGGACAAAAACTGCAACTTGCTGAGTATCGATGGAGAAAAGCAGATAGTGTTATTATAGGATGATATCAGCCAGAGAAAAGAGATTTAAAAGGCAAACACAGCAGTTGCCCAGAGATTCAATTCATGGATCACAAATTTACCATCAGTGGCAACAACTTTTTTTCCTTCATGTTTTAGTGTCTTAGTGTCTGATCTGTTTCTTCTCTATTCCTAGTAGGATTTCCAATGAAAGCTTCTCAAGGCCTCCATGGGGGCAAAACAATTCTCATCACTAGCTATTTAGATGCTTTTAAGACACCCTTTATTTTCCTTCTAGGCAGCAATATAGTAAAACCTTAAGCTAATAAGATATAGTGACAAGGAATCAAGAACTGTATTTGGTTCTGAACAATGGTTTTTAAAAGGTTTTGCAGAAATTCAGCTTAAAAAATATACAGCATCGTTGTTATGAGAGCTGGAGCACTGGAATGGGAGCCTTCTCAAATGTACCATGATGCTTGCATTTGTAGATTTATACTGAATGTAAAATTAGTTTTAAGTTCTTGCTATGTCTGATGAGTAAAAATCCAAAACCTTGGACACTGATTGAGATACGTTGTTGAAGTTTATAAAAGAAGTGCCAACTTTTTTTGTTTTTCAAACAAATACACTGTTCCAATAAATGCTTACAACTCTCAAGGAATAGCCAAAGAATACTCTCCAACATGCAATAAAAATGATTAACTTAGTCTGGGGATTGAGCAAAGGAGAAAAATAATGTGATGTAGTTCTGTAGGTTTTATTATACTCTGTAATGTCATAGGCAACACAGAATCTGTTTTCATTTGCAAAAATCTGTCCAAGATTACAGGACATGAAAATGAAACATTCTTCCTTCCAATGAGCAACCTTAATTCTCAAAGTATTTCTATTTTTTCTCTGCACATGAAAGAAATGTATATAAACTTCTTCTGAGAGGAAACAAGAATGAGTTCTTATTGCATGGGGAACAGTAACTGTCAACACACATAGAAAAAATGGTAGATCGGAAGGCCCTATTTAGGCACAATATATAATTAGGGTATGTGTGTGCAAATGATGGGGGAGAGAAAAGAATGAGCAGAATTCAAAGCCTGCAAGAATCAAGTTGTGATTTGATGATATAACCTGAAGATTTTGTAGATTTTTTAAAAAAAGAAGTTAATATTAATAAAGGTATGGAATGTTCATGCTTGCACTTCTCAACACATGCTGAAAAAAAACATGAAAGTGACAGTGCTAACATTATAGGAGAGAAATAAAAAATATGCATATGAAGATAAATAATGATATGATGCTTTGGATTAAAATAAAGCAAGAGATGTATACAATTAGAAAAATGCAACTAACAATCTCAAGCATGTAAGATTCTAAGGAGAGAAAGAAAACAGGAACAGCAATTAATATGTAAAAAGTTATAAAACTATTTTAATGCACATAATGAAATTAGCAGGAGAGTTAAAAAGAGACTGGATTTTCAATAAACAATAGTGCTTGATACAGCAAAAGAAGAAACAAAGCAGATATAAAACTGAATCCCCATCTTCCCCTACCAGATTTCTAGTTGTGCCTCTTGTCTAGGAAATCCCTACTTAATATAATGCAGTATAAAGAGCACAATCTACTATAAACACCCTTCACTGGGAAGATAAAAGACAGAAGGAGCTTTTAAAGACTAAAGGAGGAAAATGTAAAAAACAAAGATGAAGGAAGGCAATCTTTTTCACAGTCAGCAAGAGGACCACTTTATCTGCTGCTTGACTTTATGTGTTTGCAATCCAGAATAAGATAAGGAACAGTAAAGAAAAATGAAAAAAAAAGATGATGGAATTATCTACATGGGCCAATATCCACTTCAGAGAAAGAATGATGCTCACCTGAGCACTCAGGTGTCTCCAACAATGAATCCAAGAGGAAAACACAGGGGCATATGGAGGGAGGCCAGCAAGTAACCTACACAGCAAAGAAAGCCATCAAGGAGGAGAATATACAGAGAACCCAGCATTGAGAGGGAGAAAGTAACATGCAAGGCACACATAGCAACAGGTGTATTTACTGCAGAAGCAAGCATGTTTTTGCCCTAGAAAGAAACTGGTTTGGGTTTTTCCTAACATAAGATGATAATACTTAACTTTTCTATGATTTGCTAAATTTGCCAATTTTCTGGATTAGGCAGAAATTATTGCAATTTTTAAAATCTTAGTCTGCATCTTATAAGTTGACTCATGCTGAGTACAGTTGTCAATTATTATATACTGACCAAAATTTAATATTGACTTATTTCAGTACTGAGTTAAAATACTAAGTATTTTAAATTGATCTAAGGCACACAGATTTATATGATGTTATTTTGAAATGTTACAGCTGGTTTTATATTGCCTGTAAATCCCCTTTCTATCAATTTTTCCTTTTTCTCTTTTCCCCTTTTTATTCTTCCCTTATCTTTTTTCTGATTGCACTTCTAAAATAAATTATAATAAAAAAGAAAGGTATATGCAATGGCTAAATACATTATTTGAGCATTCTACAGTTAGATATTGTACAAATTTATAGAATAAGAATTCATCAGGTTTTCTGTCATTTGATAACTGTGGATGTTTATAAACTTGAAACACACACAGAAAGAAAGAGGCTGTTTGCTTCATGTTTATTAAGCTAAAAATGCATGCGGTTGACAAAAATAATGGTGTTTTTCCCCCAAACACAAACCAGACACATATACAGCCAAACCAGTTATTCTCTTCCTATATCCCTTCCAAATCTAACCATATAAAATAAAGTTTATTCTCTCTCTCTAGTTCTTTTTTTCTTTCTTGACAAAGGTGAAAGGAAAATAGTGTTGGTTTTCTTTATGCATACAAGACTTAAAGTCTTTTATTTAGGAAACTGAGACTATTGAGTAATTCTGCCAAACAGGAAGCCCACTAAATTTTCACTGGAGAGATTAAACTGTATTTGCTGGGGGGTGGGGGTGGGGTTTAATATCACATACCCACAGTTGTTCACTGCCATGAGATCACCCACGAGAAGAAAAGGGTATGTCAACATGCTCACAGCAATCTGTAACAAAGAAATATCTGAGGCAGTCCTTCTATTTGTCACAGTTAAGCAAAAAATACTGTAGGTAGAAAAAGGCTTTGTGCAAAAGAAATTGGAAAATACCAGATATATAAACCAGGACTGGCTTACATGTTAGTAATATAGCTAACCAACTCATCAGGCCATGGAAACAATTGCAACTGACAAAAAACCCTGTACTTAAGACTTGTCAGTACTTAATATCACAGCTATGCTTTTCTGTTGACATGTACATCTGCAAACAGGAGTCATCTTCATATCCCACTAATTGCAACATAAAGATTTCCCACCAACTGCTCTGAAAAGATAGATCCTCATGATGCTGCTTTTGTCTTATCCCCAGCCAACTGCTGAAGAAGCTGATATTTGTCTTTAGTCATTCCAGGGATAAAGTAGCATTTCCCGTTTTCTCCTGACAAATCCTGCCATACAAATGATTGTAGATACCTCACTGATGATGTGGGTTCATGACATAGGCAGGGCTGGGACTTGGAAGGTCAAGAAGAGAAGCATGAGTGAGGAGCTGACTTTTTCCCTACCAGGTCTCCAATTACATGGAGCTGCTCCCCACTCTGCTTGCTCAGCACTGGCAGCTGATACCGACAGGGCTGGATAGGGTAGCAGGGGAGTAGGATAAAGGTACATTTTTCCATTGTCAGATCTCCAATCACATGGAACTGAACCATCCATCTGGAGACCTGGCGGGAAAAGGCTTGGCTCCCTGTAGCCATTTGTGTTTGCTGAGACTTTCTCAGATTGCTGAACTCACATAGATCAAAAGGTTTTCAGGCTGCCTCAAAAGAGCTCAACAAACACAATGGGTTTTTAACACATTACAATTGTTAATTGATAAGGTATTTGTAATCTGTCTCACATATAAACCTGCATCTGTGTAATTAACCTGTCTTCACCTCTCTCCCCCCCAACATCTCAATTTAAATTCTACGTCAGTCAAGCCACTCTATGCATCTGTTGAAGTGAACTACAGCTCACAAAAGCATATGCCTTTTAATAGAATTTGTTAGTCGGAAAAGGTGCTACGAGACTTCTGGTTTTTCACTCTCTGAATTGGGTTTTTCCCCAATTCAGAGAGTGGAACTGCCTTTGGCCATGCTGGCTGGAAGCTGCACTCCCAAAACATCAGGAAGAGATCAAGCCTGGAAAGAGCAACAAGAGCAATGAAACAGGAACATATAGCTATACATATTTCAACAGACGCAAAGCTTACATACCCCCATCACAAACTTAGTGTAGCTCCGGATGACAGAAGCTTGGTTGAACTGTAAGGAAAAAACAACAACAATAATCCAAAGGGATCTTGGGGTCCCGGGCAACACACCTGTTAAGTGAATACAGGAAAACACTTGACAGAACACTCCTGCTAGGGAATGTCCAAAGAACATGGCAGAAGCCTTAGCACAACAACCACCTCATCAGTAACTGACCCCCAAAAGGAATGGCACCATTTGACTGATAAGAGATGAACAAAAGGTATTGCAATTACAATTTTATTAGGAAAAAGCCAAGAGAACAATTAGAAGAATGTCCTGCCTGACTATAATAAACTCACACCTGACCAAGTTTAATATTTGAATCTTATTAATATCCAGAAATGCCAAGTCTTATTATTAGTTAGAAAATGGCTTTCAATGTTCAATAGATTTTGTTTTTCCTTGGACTTAGTGTACTTCCTGCAAAAAAGACAATAAGTGAATGTGGGGAAACTACCAGCATATAACAAAAAGAATTGGCCAGAAGTGGTGAAGGTCATTTCCATAGGAAATGATTGTTGTACGATAAGACTCCAGCTTGTGAAATGCTGGTTTATTCCAATCCACTTTCTTCTTTGACATCATCATGAGTTATTTATTAGATTTATATCCCCCTTTCTTCCAGGATCACATGGAAGTCTACATGGGCATGTCCATTTATCTTCACAACCACTACCATATGATATGGTTGGACTGAGAGTGTATGACTAGTTTAAAATGAATATTCATGGCTGAAGTATGAATGTGCACCTCAGCTGGGAGCAGCCTGAGCTCTTACCTACCATACCACACTGAATCTTTGGGGAAGAAATTTTAGAGCCCAATAAGATTAGGAAGGTTACCACTCACATTGTCATCCACAGCATAAGTGTTGATAAAATGAGCCAGAAGGTTGCAACACCACAGAAAAATAAGATCACCTAGGATATGAGGAACTAAACCTCTGGGGAGAAAAAAGAATAAGAGGAAACATTAAATAAAAAGACTCTTAAATTAACCTCATACAGTTTAGAGAATAAGAATAGTAAAGCCTGTAAAGATTATACACATGAAATTTGTACTTGGAATACAAAAAACTAGAGAGATTGTTTGGAACTTAGGGACTAAATCAAATCCTAAGGATTTAAGAAGATGAAAGATACATCTTAGAACTCCATAAATGCTCTAATGCACATTGAGGAAAGAAAAGAAAGATTGAACCCCAGGCCAAATGTTAATGCACAGAGAACAAAGAACTTCTGCTACACAGCAACATGTTTTGGAAAATGAATCATAAATATGAATGTACTAATTTAATTAATTCAGCAATAGTAACGAACTTAGAGCGTGCAAAAAGCAATGAGAATGGAAGAGAGCCATTTAGTATTGTATCTATTCATAGGGTGAGAAGACAACCACTTATGTATGTGCCTATATTTAACTGCAATAGAAACTGAGTGAAATATTTTACTAACCCAACTATCTAAGAGTCCATACTGATTGAAAGCCATATCCTTGTTACATCCCACCCTATCTTCTAATTAACTGCTGATACTAGTCCATATACGTTAGATGTTACTCCTGTGCTAGAGGGTACCAGGTAGGATACAGTGGATGAAAAGACCCATGGTTTTGTTTCTTGTCACACTGTGTCAGTGTAAAAACTCACTAGCCATCTTTCAGCTCTTCAGATGGATTATTACCTTCTCTGTGCCTTTTACCTCTTTTTCCCAGTTAGCTTCCAGGCATGCAAATCTTTCGCAGGTTAAAGTGGCCTAGTTTTTATGGAATAGGTATTACCATTGAGGTTGCCATATTCCTGAGTGTTTACATCAGGGATATGCAAATTCTGGAGCCTCTCAAAAGACTTTCCAACAAAGTAATGTGATAGGAAGTGAACAGAAGGGGAATTATTAAGTAAGTGAGCAATAGCAATTTCATCTTTTAATATGTGGTTTTCTTTGCAAGATTTCAGAAGTGGTTTGCCATTGCCTCCTTAGCACTGATTAAAATGTAAGTGCAGAAAAAGATTAATAATCTCCTAGTTTGAATCAGTCCTAATAATTCATTGTGCTTAAATAAGTCTTGCAATTCTTCGAAAATATATCCAGGAACTGTACGAAGGGAAAAGTCCCAGGTCCAACTATTTTATGAGATCTTGTTATTTTTATGTGAAACACAAATTTTAACTGACTGACCATGAGAGACAGGAAATTGTCAAGTATGATCTCTTTCTCTTTTTTATATACATGCCAGGAGGCACTGGAACGTGTAACACACTTTCTGATAAACAATTCTGAACTTTGAACTGAATTATAAAGCTCAAGGAAGTGGAATGTTCTGAACAGGAGCTGACTCTTCTCAGTGGTGTGAGACTTGATCCTCAAAAGCAAATAGCAAGTTCAAGCTTAATTAAATTTGCTGGTAATTTACGTACACGAAGAATCCCAAGAGTCCTTCTTCTTTCCAAATTGTCCTGACGGAGCTAAACATATTGCTGTTGAAAAAGGAAAAACATTAGATGTGGGCAGAAGTGCTCTCTCTCACCTCTTCAGCCTACAGTAAATTACTGCACTGCTGCCAGTATTCTTCAACAACAGGAAAAGGAAACATCTATATTTCCTGGAAATAACTATCAATATTGAGCAAATAATTTTATTACTACTTGTTATTATTCTCAGATTGAGCTATGGAATGTTAAGAAGATCTCACCTGTACTTAAGTTCTCGTCCTACGAACTGGACCATACAGCGCATAGATATTACTTCAGAAGAAAGGAAAGAGACATGAGTACGAAAGTAGTTCATTTATATGTTTGATGCAGACTAAGCCAAATGTGAAACAAGAACTCAATCTGTAAATTTCTAGCATTCTATCAGCCACAATTCATCCCTTGTTATGTCCAATAACATATAAAAATATATACCTGAGTATTCTTGCAGAGAAAAGAAAATCTTTACTGTGCTAAAAAAAAAAAACCCTAGCAAATTAATTGCAATGTAAAGTTTTAAGAATTGAATGAATAAAAGTTATGAATCACATATATGCATGTATAATTTCATAAAGAGATATTTGCATGCATCCATCTGTAAACAGGTTAAAAGTCTATGAAATGGAAAGAGTAGCTGTGGCTCTTCTGCATGTTAGTTTGAATAGACTGGCTCCATATAGCCATAATGATTATATAATGATATACCATCAAGTCTTAGTGACCACATACATAGGTTTTCTCTAGGAAGAACTGTCCACAACCTGGTCCATACAACCAGAGCCATTAGCAAATAATACTTCTTACTACACTGATTCAATGCCTGAGGAAGGACAATGGTTTTACACTGAGAAAATACCACAAAATTGACTGATTCATAATAGCAAAAGAAGTCTCAACTGAAATATTCTATAGGCCTCTGGAATTCAGAATTCTTTTCCCACAGTGATCTACCAGGTGCCTATGGGAAGCCTAAACAGAGTATCTACAAAAGTAGTAAAAATAGATTGCATCCCCAGTGAACTCTGAATTTAAAGACATTTTCCCACAGGAAAAGTATATAGGAACAAAATATATACCAACAGACAAAAATCCTGTGAAATGCCTAGCTTCCTCATCTTGCCAATCTAGAATTGTCAACTCTAGTTGAAACCAGTCTGAAGATGTCCTCCTTAATAAATGTGTGCCAATAAAACACTTTTGGGCACATATGTGTATGCTTGTATATATGCCTGCTAAAAGCCACACTCCAAAGTAGGCCAGGACCCAGAGAAACAAATTTGAATAACTTATTATTGTCTGTAAAACAGGAACCCAATTATAAAATCAGTAAATTTCCCATCTGCATATACAACCATTCTCTCTTATACACTCAAACTCCTTTCACAAACACACACCTACAAACACACACACCTCCCTACTTCCAGTAGAAACAGCAAAACAGGAGGGAGCTGGAGAAGAAGGGAAGGGAAGGGGAATAGCACTGGGAAGGCGGAAGAGTTAAGTGGACAGAGAAGGGAAGAAGAGAGGGCAAAGTATTAAAAACAGAGTTAAATATATCAGGCAAACACCTTTTTGCAAGCAGGGCCTAATCTTCAGACTAATTTTCAAGGCATATACAGTACACTTTTCAACAAAACATCTATAGTTATTTATATGTCCTGCCAATTCCTTTGTTTTCAATAGTCCCTTCAATTCTACTCAGCAACAGTTGATTAGTGGAGTGGGGCAGGGTGGGGTGGGGTGTCATCTTATATATGGCCAACATAACCAGGGGTATGCAAAACGTTTGAGAGCAAAAGATTCTGACACCCAAACACCTCATTCTGACTTCATCAGAAGCGATCCCACCTCAAAACAGACTATTCTGAATGGGAAGTAGAAATAGGCTAAGTCCATTTCATGTCCATGTATGCTGAGGTTGAATACAATGCTACAGGATGAAGCCTTTTGCACACCACTTAGCATGACAGGTAACCACTGATTCTAGCTCAGAATCAACTGAAAACTGGCCACAGTAAAGTGGGATAATATGCAAATTCTTATATAAATAAATAAAATTCAAATTTTAAATTACTTCCAATTTTATAAGAAAAAAATACAATACAAGAGATTAAATCAGAACGGACTTTTCTGTTAACAAAATGAATATTTAAATAGAGATGGGGCTTGAGAGGAGCAGATTGCACAACTCACCATGAAGTGGATGAGAAATAATTCGGGATACACACTGTATCATCATCTCATGGCAAGTCTGATAAAATATGAAGACAGAACACTTCTTTATCTTCGGCAAACAATCTCATAATCAGTAGACTATGATGGGAAACTTGTTATTTTAAATACCTTAGTTTCATTATTTGAAAAAAAGTATTTGCCGGACTGCACAGAATGCAGTTACAGTCTCTGTGCTACCCTAAGTCATTCCCTGGTTGCTCTAATTGAGCCTGTCCTATATTATTCAGATACAGGTAGTCCTCGAGTTATGACAGCAATTGGGACCGGAATTTCCATTGCTAAGCAATGCAGTCATAAAGCTTGATGTCACGGGACTGTATCATCTAGCGACAGCAATCCTGGCACTCCCCATTGCCATTGTTAACCAAATTCCACCGGTCATTAGACAAGAACCCACCCCGATCCAAGCCATTCCTGGCTTGATCCCTCCCAGCCCCAAGCCTCGGTTCTTCCAAGGTAAGGGACCGCCTCCCCTTCAACTCCCCGCAATTACCTATCCTCCCCATCTCTGCCCTTTTGACCCCCCTGCACCCTGCCTTGTGGGGCAGCAAGCAGCCCCAGAACCGCATGGCTCTGGGGCTGCTTGCCTTACTACAGCTCTGGGGCTGCAAGAAGCCCCTGAGGGCAGTGTGAAACCTTAGCTGCCCAGGAAGCCCCAGTCACCCCAGCCCAGCAGCACAGTGTGGCACAAAGCCGCAGCTGCCCCAGCCTGGCCCAGCAGTGCAGTGTGAAGCCGCAGCCACCTCAGGAAGCCCCAGCCACCCCAGCCTGGCCCAGCAACATGAAGGCAAAAAGATTGACCCCACTTTTAGCAGTCTCAAGGTTATCTCTATTAAAATTAATTAGCGGAAACATGTTAGTATTTATTATTAGAATAGTTTAGTAGATGAAATCTTAGCATCCTTAATTTTATACCATTCATATAATCTTTCCCACCTCACAAGGGTCTGAGGCATTTTTTCGAACTAGGTTTAATCACACTGGAAAAGAGAAGATTTGGGGATACAACATTCATATTGAACTTCTTAAATTATTCATTAAAATATACAGTCTTTCCAAATACAAAATACTTAAGCAATGAGAAGTTGCTTAAGAGTTCCACCTCTTTTGCCACTTTCCTGAGAGATGTCTTCACATCATCCTTATTGGAAACATGCTCCATATCTTCTAGAGGGAAGGCCTGAGGTATAAAGGAGAAAGTAAATCAATACTCAAAAGGCCTGGTTATATTAAGAAATAATACTTGATGTATGAGGTCTAACAGTGATACTCCCAAGACCCAGGAAGAAGAGAAGTTATCACATCTATGCCCTACTTGTTCTCCAAGGGATTCAGACTAGTGTATGTGGGGCGATTATTCTATTATACCTTCATTGTACTTTGCTGAAAACCAGTAACTGGACTAAGATCATCCAATATAGTACAGAGTGAGGACTTTAACTCAGAGAACCATTCATCTTTGCTTCCCCCTTTCCTTCTCTTGAGCCACACCACTGCTGCAAGAATATGGTAATGAAAACATGTGTTTCTGCCTGTTCTGAAAATGTTCAGCTCAAAAGCATGCTGGTGCTTCCTGCTCATCAACCACAGCATGGGCAAGCCTGCACCTAAGTCAAAGAAAGATGAATGAGTTTCTCTTCCAAACGATGCACAGAATGGAGGGATATGATAGTCTGCATAGTTGAATGAGACAGTGCTGAGGTTTTGGAGCTTTCCTGTGCACAGCAGGATTGGATGGCAGCCAACTTGTCTTGGCAGGAGACAGAGCAGCCCTTCTCCCATTCTTAATGAGGAGCTGTCACTAAAGATTAGAAAAGTGAAATCAGCAGCCCCACTGTCAAAGGCAGGCCAAGGATTGTCAAACTAACAGGCTTTCACAGGAAATAAAAGGTCACTAAGAAAGGACCAGCACTTCATTATTCTTGCGAGGTTAAAGGCTTTCAGACAGTCCTAAAGCAACTTGATGGTGCCTTAATAATCAATTATGGCCCAGGAGGGCTATCAGTATGCGACTGTGGCATAAAATCCTGGAGGACTCAGGAAATGGTTCACAGCATTTAAAAAAAAAATCCAAATAACATGTTTTGAGGGATTCCATCTTCTATGAGGCCAGCTGCTGCTACTGCTTTTCGAGTTCAACACCTCAGGTTCTAAAAAATATTTCACTGCTTCTGTTTGGAAGAAACAGCTTCATTCTACAACCAGAAGGGTTGCTGTTGCTGTTGTTTTTGAATTTCAATCTCTTCCATAGTCCAACTAGGCAAATGCAGAAGCTGAGACTTCAGCTGTGAGAAAGTGTTGGCCTTGACATTTATTACACAATTTAGCCACACAAGTAGCCTCTTCAGCACAAAGAGATTAGAGAACAAATGTGTGACATACTGTACCTTCTTCACTTGTTCTCGGTTTATGGTAGATAAAACGCTAGAGAGGATGCGAGGAGAAAGACCACGGAAAAGGCCCATTTTCCCATCCACTTCCACAATGTGCCTGGCTAGGGATAAATGATGCTGAAGTCACTTCATCACAATTCTGCAAAAACCCTAACATTCAGATGACTGGATATCTATGTATAATAATATACATCTTAGGCTTTAAACTATCCAGTGACACTAAGATGGTAAAAATGTTGAGAAAACATTTGCATTTTCAACTATTCTTTCAGCTGTGGTCTGCCTACCTTAAAGAGTTATACTGGATTTTATTGTGCTAGGTCAGAGTGTTAAGATTCCTTTAACTCACGCTTAGCTGTATTGCCTCTTTCCACCCAAAGGGTTCTGATTATAATGTGCAAAACTTTTGAAAGGAATTTGATAGAGCTCAAGTTATTATAAACTTCAGATAACTGGAGAGAGAGAGGGAAAAAAAGCCCCTAATATGTTATAATCCTGCAGCTGCTTACTACAATTGCTTGTAAGACTGATTTCAAATTTAGCTAACTAGAAAGCAAATTTTGTTCCCTAAATATAAGTTTTATGTTTATAAAAGAAAAAGGCTGTTTCATTAAGAACAGGTCTACAAATTTATTATAAAACAGTAGTATTATTTAAGAGCTCAATCATATAGTCATCAAGCAAAAAAGTACATTATCAAAGAATCCTGATTATGAGCTATGGACCAAATAAAGTTTTATACTGTGTATCAACAGCAAATACCAATAAATGCAAATCATTGGGCTTTTTCTAGAGCAAATTGGAATATGTTAGTGTATTTTCTGTTACTATACTGGTCATAAATACATCTCTCCATTTTTAACTGATATCCTGTCTTTCCCAAAACAGATTGCTAATCAATATCATTCAGTAAGTGCTAAGTATTTTTCTCGTAGGGATAAGTGATATGACAGAAAGAAGTTAGTCAAATCCTCAGTTGCTGTAATTATTGCTGAGACCAAACCTTGTATAGAAAAGGACTTTTAATGAAGGGAATTTTTTATGTTTCTGATGAAAAGATCCCCATTCATTTAAATTTGTTTGCCTGCTTGAAAAAAAAAAGATAAGTAGAAATACAAAGTGTTTAATGGCTTAACCATCACCAGGGGTTTTTTTTTTAACATATTTAGGGTCGAATTGTGACTTTTGCCCTAAGCACAAACTTTTCTAAATCAAGAAGACCCAAAAATATGTTATATCATATTGTTTTTGCATGTCATAAAATCTTTTGGCATTATAAACAAAACATTTCCCTAAGTATCTTATGCATCTAAACAATAACAACAAAATCTGATTTCTATTTAGAAGCAAGTCTGATTGAATTTAGTGAATATGTAATGATAGGACTGGAAGCTTACAGAGAGTTACTATTAAGATTTTATTTAAGAAATACCTATATAGCTTTAGCATCACTTTTTCTCACCCTGAAAAATTATTTCTCAGTCCCAAGCTTGATATTCTTGCAAGATGGAAGTGACCTGGAAAGACTGTTTCTCATGCACCAGGTATATTCCCATTGAAAAGTATACTCAGATATGTTTGTTAAAAAGAGACACATCTGAATTAGCAATGTACTAATATTATTTTTATTCATTATTTTGGAATGTTACATTATCTTCACTGAATCCACTGACAAATTTATTTATTAGGTCATGCTCACCATATGTAAAGAATCCAGGAAGGTAGAATACTTTTCTCCCCAGTAAATTTCTTCCAACAGTTGGAGGCAGAGGCTCATGTCCAACCTTTAAAAGAAATATGAAAAAAGTAACACCTGTATCTTACAAGTGTCCCCATCTCAGTGAACTTTATTCACAGGTTTACAGCTTACATAGGAGCAACTCCCTATTGCTCTCAACTCCTGCTCTATTCACCTCTTGACTCCTGGAGACTGCCTGGACTAGTCCTGTAGTTTTCTTGCAAGATTTTCAGAAGTGGCTTGCCATGGTCTTCTTCCCAGGGCTGAGAGTGACTGGCCCAAAATCACCCAGTTAGCTTTGTGCCTAAGGCAGGAGTGGAACTCATGGTCTCCCAGTTTCTAGCCTGGTGTGCATGCATGAAAGCGTGTATATATGTGTGTGTGTTCATTTATAGGCCCAAAGCATTAGCACTTCTTTTGTGTTTTCTTTGCTAAGTAGTACACGCAGGTCTAGTCACTTTGAAAAACAAAAACATATTCTTGTTCTCTCCTTTGCATAGTGCTAAGTTTTTCTGAACTGAAACACACATTATAAAATATGCTTGAGAAGAACTACCTGTAGAAAAGAATTTTTTCCTGCTGTTTCAAAGGCAGGGATGCCTACTGCAATAGTCTTATTGTTATTTGAACAACCTAATCAAAAACAAATGGATCACACTACTACCCGGAAGGAAAACCAGCAGCAAATATTAGAGTTCTAGGTTACAGTGGAAATAAAATGCCAGAAGGCAGCCATGGCAAACTATTTTATTACACCCCTCCCCCCGCCAACTTACATTAATAGATCTATGTGGTCTCTAAGAGGTGAGCTCCCCTTTTAATCCTCCTGGTAATTTCAAAGCAGTGTTTTTCAAACTTGGCAACTTTAAGATGTGTGGACTTCAACTCCCAGAATTCCCCCGCCACCACCTCTGGGGGGGGGGGCGTTGGGGAGGATGGGCCACCACCATTTAAATGAACAGTTAAATAAAAATAACGTGGTAATATTAAGAGGAAGTA